ATTCCAAACCACAATAAAACCAGTCTTTGCCATTAGTCTGTCTCCTGCAGTAACTTTCCAAAAACCTGCTAGCAAAGCAACATGCTTTTCCTTTCTGCTTTCAATTCTGTTAAGAAGATTTGTAAGCATTTTTTGAGTTGTCCTTCTCAGGGTAGGCATGATGATGCACATATTAGTAAACTTTTATGTTTCCTCATCTTACGCTGTCATCCAATTTATTGGGTCCCAGTCAAAGACCCTAAGGTGTGCCGAAGAAAAACGGTTTTTCCACTCTAACACATTCAGGTGTTGCGCTGCTCTTGTCAAGACTTCATTTCTCATCAGTACAGAAATGAACTGGTTCTGCCTTCTTTGTCCAAGTATTTGTCTAATGGCCTCTTCCTTTTGAGGACTACAATCTAGCTCCATTTCTTCACATTTTGGTGTTAAATTCCAAATAAACCCACATCTTTACAATGTAGTCCCTTTTGCCTTTCATAACTGCTGAGGTATGCCTGAAAACTTTTGAAAGGCATAAAGCCAGAGGGACAATTAAAAAAAAAAAGACAGTTCAATATTCCAGTGAAGATACCTTTGCTTTCACAAAGGCTCTTGAGTGTAATTTGCAAAATTCACTGCTGAATCTTTGCAGTTGAAACTGGTGGTTAGATACCAAAATAAAAAATATAAACTTCAAATAGTGAGAAGAAAATTTTCCATAGAACCCATGACTTCCTTTGTTTTGATTTTTAGAGAGTGAAAAGTATTCCATTAGAAGACTCAATGCACCTATAAAAATAGAACTTCCCATTAGACCCTAAATAGCTGACATTCCACAGAAAGTATGCACAAGTACCACTAGCCAAAACTACCATCAAAAGGAGCAACACAGAACATTCCTTCTTTAGGAATTCAAGCAGTTATTTAATCTTGGAACTGATTGGCTAAGTGTCTTCCAATTTTCCTATATGAGCATCTCATTGATATCTTTTAAGAGCACATGCTCTGAAACACATTTGAAATATACATTTAAAAAGTTAATTTTCTTGTTCACTGAAAATATAGACTTCTAATGATTGTTTCCAATTGTAAAGCCAGATGCTTTACTGAATTGTGTTTAACTAGTTTATTAATCTCATTTGCTGGCAAAATATTTTGGATAGAACTGCTGTTAACTCTTGAACAGTAAAATGTAATTGCAGATTCAGAGTTCTTTTTTCTAGAAGGGAAGGTTCGGCTGCATAACGCAGCATGATTCAGATTAATATGACACACATGTGAAAGACTTTGGAAGACTGTTTACTTTGGTTTCAGAGTCATTAAAAACATAAATGTCATGCTACAGATATAATACACTGTAGCTGAAAATTTTATTTTGCATGCATGTGAACTGCATTATCTGTATTTTCTTCACCAATTACTGCAGTGAATGCCTAAAAATGGATGTATAAAATAAACTGAAGTATATTATTCCTATTATTCTCTTAATATTGTAAATAATACGGAAAGCTTTTCATAGGAGTTGCCCAGAAGGTATGTACAAAGGAATCCTTATTTTGAATGATTTTCCAATATCATCATAACCCATAAAGGAGAGGAGACAGGTAAGGGTCAAAAAGTTTTCATAGAAACAATGCCTAACATTTCTCAAGTTTGGCATATACAAATGCACACATTCAGGAGTCTTACCAGGACTCAGGTAAAGTGGACTTTAAGAAACACAATGTTAAATACCACAATCAAACTTCTGAAAGCAAAGGCAAAAAAAAAATTCCTTAAGGATGTCAGAAAAATAATACCTCATTTAAAGAGTAAAATAACCAGAATGACAAGATATTTCTCATTAAAAACCCAGCTCTTAGGGCAGGATTATGAATTGGTAGTGAGGTTTTTGCTTGGGAGGCATGCTGTATGTGTGTGCATGAGCGTGTGTGTGTGTGTGTGTGTGTGTGTGTGTGTGTGTGTGTGCATATATATGTGTGTGTATATATATATATAAAGTGCATATTTATATTTATTTAGTTAAATATTGTTTAGATATTTTAAATATATATTAAATTATATAAATATATATCAAATCTATATATTTTATATCTATACAAAATATTCTAAACTTACATATCTATGTATATATATACCCTATATGTATGTATGTATGTGTGTATATATATGCATATATGTATATGTGTGTGTGTGTGTATATATATAAATTTGAGCCACAGCTCTACTCCAGATTTCAATTTCTTGCCAATGCATACCCTGGGAGACAACAGTTGATTCATAAAAATGAAATATATGAAAACCAAATCCAAACCACTGAGATGGAAATGACCAAACACTAAAATAAAAGTACTTCCAACGCAGAATTCTGTGCCTGGCAAAAATATCTTTCTAGAACAAAGGGAAGTCAACATATTTTTAGAAGAAGTACAACCAGAAATTTGTCTCTAGCATACCTACTCTGAAAGAATAGCTAAAGGAAGTTGAGACAGAAATTTTTGATATAAGGGATCTGGAAAAATCAAGAAGGAAAAATTAGCAAGGATGAAAGTGAAAATAAGAGCTCTGGGGAAAAAAACCCCAGGATGACCTAGAACATCATAAAGTAGCACCAAAAGACAGCCGGTGAACAAGTCTTAAATGAACTGTTACTGTGGAGAGGAGCCTGTTAGCATGGCTCACAAGAGGAATTTAGTCCTTACATACATACATACGCATGGGTTACCAACAAAGAAGACAGGCTTAGTTGCCTAGCAAAGAGGAACGTATTGTTTTCTTTTTGGATTACAAAATCATGCATTAGTTCATAGGTGGACAACACATGATTTAGGAGAAATGAGTTCTCAAGACTTAGTCAATGCCAGTCGTTGTCATTCCATTATTTACCAATAGTCAGATCTCCACATACAGCATGAGGTTTCACTCTCATAGTCATGGATTAGAAATAGTTGAAGAAAAATATTCATGTTTACATGAATGTTCATCCTTGTTGAACATCTATACAACTTTTATTCTTATTCCTTTCAATGATGTAGTATTTATATAGAATTTACATTCATACATTATAATATAAATATAATTTTAACATACACATATATAGGAGGATGTACAGAGACTACATGCAAATACTATGTCATTTTATAAAAGACTTGAGCACCCACAGATTTTGGTATACATGGAAGTTTTAGAATCATTCACAGGTACCTGGTTTAGACATAGGGTTGTACAGCAATTTTAAAATAAAGATTCATTAGTAGACACTTTCTTAGAGACTCCAGGGAAAAGGTTTACCCATATAAAAATATAGACACTGGAATTACTGTTCCCTTTTATCTGACTTTGCAAGTCATAGTGGTACTTAAAATGTGAGTCTGTAAGAGGAGCCTGAGCATTAAGACATGCCCTTCATCTCCTATGAAAAACAGACAAAACAATAGAAACGTTTTTATATTTGCTTGATATTTTTACATTTGTGAGAAGCAGAAAACAAGAGAAAGAGTGAGGAGAGATACCCTTTCAATGGGGTTATATGTAGGTGAAAGTTGTGCTGAGAAGTCTAATCAAGTCTCCCACAAGGGTAGTGGGGACTCATTCATCACCTGCTGCCTCCCTGGCTGTGTAGCAGTAGGAATCCGGACTCAGAAATGGAGCTAGGACATAAGACTGGGCACTTGGATATGGAAGGCTGGTATCCAGATTGGCATCCTAACCAGTAGACTATAAGTCTGCCACACGATATCGTTTCTTTAATGATTGGATTCAAAGGCTGACTTAACCAAATCCAGAATTAGTCTACTTTTAAACTCATATCATGTGAAATGCTTTTTTCTTACCTATCTTCAAAAACTTTTATGAAAATGGTATTAAAATGCTATTTCTTTAAAGTTTTACTTACTTTGTATGAGATACAGACTGACAGAAAATGTCAGAAAGACAGAGGGAGAAGGATGGGGGTGGAGAGAGAGAGAAAGGAGGAATGCAGGGAGTACGAGAGAAAAACACTTTGGCTGCTGATTCACTTGCAACAATCCATGTTAGATGAGATCAAAGCCAGGAGCCAAGAACTCAATCTGATTGACCCATGTGCGTAGCAGGAACCCACGTGCTTAGACCGTCATCTGCTATATCCAATATACATGAGAAGGAAATAAACTGTGAGCTCAGACTCTGACCAGGTGCTCTAATTTGGGATTTGAGATGCTGGCCAATCCACGATGTGCCGTTAGAGTGGTTCTTATATGAACGCACTGCAAATACACAACTGTTTCTTCTGTTACTGAACCCTGCCTTTTTGTTTCTGGGTTGTGTGTTTTGTTTTTTGGTGTGTTTTTTTTCTTTGTCTTTAGCATCTCACTCTAACATATAATGTAATCATATTATTTTAGCAAAAGGATTTATGTTAATTTATGGTATACTTTGCATGGGATTTATTAATAAAATAATGCTATCAAAAGATATGGGCATTTTTAGCCTTTTTGATAAGTAGCATCAAACGGATTTCCAGAAAATGTGTTGTTATTAAACTCCTGACAGCCATATGTGTGGTCTATTTACTATGTGTCCACCAAGAGTCATAATGTTCCTATCATTGTTGCTGACAAAACTGTGATTATCTTAAACTTGTTTAGGTAATATCATTTTCTTCCTTGACTTTTCTTTTTATATAAAGAATTATACATACTCTCAAAATTTAAGTGCAAAATTATGCTATGTTTGTCATCTTTTGTTGCCCAAAGTAAAACTAAGAACTACATAGGATAACGCAAAAGAAAACGCAAAGGGATACACATTCATAACTGTGTCAATTACAAAACTTACTTCAAATTTCCAATAAAAAAAACACTGCTAAATAGTCACTTGATTTCAATTGAGCGCTGCTAAGAGAGCATTCTAAAACATTATAGCGGTTATTAATTAAAAATAAATTATATTAAATTACTACTCAAAATAACAAAATTATAATGAACTCAAATGGCTTCAAATAGACTACAAAAAGAAATAAACACAAAATGTGTACTTACAAATCAAACACCAAGTAGTGGAAGCCCTCTTCTGATATGCTGTCATGAAGTCTCACTAAAAAAAATGAGAAGGAATAAATTTATAGCATAATCAATCAATATTAAGCCAGAATTCGAAAGAATGCTATTGTAAATACACATGTTGGCATCACTTTTATTTTGGTTTCTGCTAAGCTAATATCATTTACAACATGATTTGAGTTCAGAGACCCAAGGTTTGGGTTCTGCCTCTGATAATCTTAACAATATTTTTTTGATAATAAAAATGCTACTCTCAATAGTTCATAAATGAAAGTAAGTGAGATAATAAAAGAAATACTCCACATATTGATAAACACTAGATATTAATGGCTATACACACATAAATACACATATTTCCAGTTTAACAGATTCTAGTTATTCTTTAACTTGCCTGTTATTTCCTTTTTTATTACTGTTGCTTAATTCTCCATTGAATCAAATTTTGATTTCTACTAACAATTTAATAAAATGTCTCTGTTTATGCTTTCCTTTTGCCTTAGAATTTAGAGATATCCCTTTCTGGCCTACTCAACTTTCTTTGTTCCCTCCATCACCAAAATCCAATTATCAAATAATGGAGCAAAAAGTACGCTAGGACTTTTAATAAAATTAATCTGCTAGTTCCTTAAATTAACACTAACTTAAATTGACCCATGAGCTAAACTTTCATCGATAATTTCAATTGAAACAAATGTTTTGCTCTTCTAGTTTTAACAGTCTACATTAAGGCATATATGGAAAACTTATGTGCTATTTCGTTCGCTATTCGGTTTTGTATAAGTTCTCCCAGAAAACCTCAATCATGCCCCTAGAGGGTAAATTTCTTTTATTTATCCAAATCACTTGGAGGCTTAATCTGTAATGAAAGTTACTAAGGCAGGCAAATAAATAATCTTGTAGGAAACAACAGCATTCACATAGTCATTAGTAAAGGATAAAGACTTTGCATGTGCTTCCTCCTTGGTGCAGTCATTCAGTGATGATCACTTTATGGAAAATTGTATTCAGAGTAACATTTAGGTTATCATGCAAACTATAATCATCTACAGCAGGACACTGCAGAATTAATGGAATTCCTCAACCACTACACTTAACACATCTCTACATTTTTGATATAATCCCATCCCCTTTGGACCACATCCCTAACCTATTATTTTTTTTTAAAGATTTATTTTTATTTTTATTGGAAAGGCAGATATACAGAGAGGAGAGACAGATCTTTCATCCGATGATTCACTCCCCAAGTGAGCGCAACGGCTGATGCTATGCCGATCCAAAGCCAGGAGCCTCTTCCGGGTCTCCCATGAGGGTGCAGGGTCCCAAAGGTTTGGGCCGTCCTTGACTGCTTTCCGGGGCCACAGGCAGGGAGCTGGATGGGAAGCGGGGCTGCCGGGATTAGAACCAGTGACCAAATGGGATCCCGGGTGGGAGTGCAGGCCAGTAAAGCCTCTGTGGGCATCAATATGTAGAGGTGGAGTACACAGCTAAAAATTAATCTTCCACACAATCTACTGTATGGAACACTACTCAGCCATAGAAAATGAAATCATACCATTTACACCCAATGGTCCCAGATAGAGACCACCATGTTCAATGAAATGTCTGTCTCAAAAGTACAAATAGCATATGTCCTCTCTGATATGAGAGCCTTTATGCAAAGTACAAAGTAAACTGATATAGGTAATCAAATATAGATATATTCTCACAGATGAACAGTATAACAAAGACAAGCATATAAGGATGTAACGTTATAGTATGCATATCTGCTCTCAAATAAAATTAGGACTCCCAAGAAAATATGTAAAATATGTAAATATACTTATACAGTACAATGCCAGATTTTCTACCTTTGTCTACACCTACCATGTCATGATACATTTATATAGCAGAAAGCTAAATTTTTAACTGTTATTAAGTGACTATATTACTGTGAAAATTCAAGGAGAAATGGAGGGAGGAGAGACCAGCGATAAAGAAGGAAAGGTGGAGGTAAGAATCTCTACACTTACAAAATTGCATAATGGTAAATAATAAATATACTTGAATAATAACAGAAAAATTTAAAAAGAACTTACTAAGGGGGAAAGTGCATACAAGGATAAAATATTTCTAAAAGTTTAGTTGCCAAACATACTAACACTACAATGAGGCATCCAAATACAACCATGTCCTTCATATGAGCTGAGAAAAAAAATTTTTACATAAATATGATTAAAAAGTTCCTATGTCAGACTTCATTTTATGTAATGAGTTGATAACATAAAAGCAATTATATAGTAGACAGTATTGTCTACTATGTCAGGCACAATATAAATAATTATAGAAAGTTATTTTACTTACAAATAGGTAACATGAGCATATATTATCAGTATTTTTTTACACATAAATACATATAGATTTAGAAAAAGTAAAGAAACTTGTAAGTTAAAAGGCAATGATTTAACCAAGTTAGTACTGTAATTGAAAGATTCAAAAACCTTGTTCTTACCCAGAATAATAGATGGACTTTCTAAAATATCCTTATCAACAAATCATACCCCAAATATCTTGTAATGTATGATTGGTTTGTCAGAGTAACTAATATTAAAAATTAGAGACAGAAAAATAATGGATAAAGATAGAAAAGCAGTGCCAAGTAAAACACCATTACTGGAAAAAAGATAAACCCTTTTTGAGTATCAGTCTGAAGTGTGATGCTGCAATCTGGGAAATTCAAAAACAGCTAAAGAATTTCTCTGCTCTAAGATCCTAGAAAAGTATTAATTCTCACACCAAATTAGGAATATAAAAATTTCCAATAGTCCATGCATTTTACTCAAAAAGATAATGTAACCAAAACTCCAGTAATTGAAAAAATCATAAAAATATAGTCATCATATGAAATATTATAAACTTAAATTATATTATCTCCATGTTTAACATGTTACATTAACATTTAACATTCCTATATAGTGTACATTGTATCACAAGAGAAAAAATAATTGTGTGTGTGTGATTGTCTTTGGAAAGTGAAATGGATAAATCAAGAAGAGGGAAAAATGTAGAAAAAATGAAATTTTAAACAAAAGCAGTGTCAACTTTGATAACACACATCAGAAATGTTTCTGTCAAAAGGTAGTGAGAATATTCTTTTATAGAGATACAACAAATTTGAAGAAACGTTGATAGGGTAGAATCACTTATTTCAAATTCCATACTATATTATCTCATTTTATATTTCTCAAGAGTACCAAATAAAATCAAGGCTGTGTAATTGATTATAGTCATAGAATTTGGTTCAAATTATCTCAAAGCTTGTTCCATAAAATTTAACCTTACTACATCCTGTTCTATACTAAAATTTCTTATGGACATTCGGTAGTCAATTACGTTGATGGATTCTTTCTACCAATACTCTTGTTTCAGTCCCTTTCCACACTGTCGGGGGGGTGCTGAAAATGAGATTTGCTTTGAATGAATAGCACAGTGGAAATCAGCAGAAGCTTAAGCTCTAACATTAAAGCTGTCCTCCTGGAATCCACCAGTTTGAGTTAGAATTGAAGAGTTAGGGACTACATGAAGAGAGAGATACACAGGGGAATGAGACATCATACTGACTTTGCATCACCAGCAGGGCTCACAGTTGTCTGCTCTGAGTGACCTCAGTTACACCATGTGCTCCAATCAACTGCCTGTCTGAACCCAGTCAACTCAGGGTTAGAACAATACACAGATGCTGTTTCAAGTCACTGAATCCAAGATGGAGATGGTTAACCATCAATGAATAGACAAGATGAATCTGGAATATGTGACTGAACACTGTTTCCAAATAATCATTTCAATAACAACCAATTTTTAACAGAAAAAGAACAAATTTGGCCTCAAAAATATGAAAGAACGAGTATAAGTCATGAAAACTGAACATGGCAGAGCAATCTTGCCAATATTATCATAATATGAATACAGTAATTCATACAGAACAGATTGTATTACATCCTCATAATCACTGTTTGTCAGCTCTGAGCAATATCCCTGGTTATAAATGAGGCAGATTTCACATTTTTAAATTTGCTGTTGCACGGATTGAGGTACTTGGAATTGATTCACATACTAGGATGTGAAAATGGCAGCTTGTAAGTCATCCTTTTCATGTTCTCATCAGTAGTTAATTATAATTCACAGCTAGAACAAGGACTAGCTAAGACAGGCCATGTAATATGCCAAGCCTTTCCCCAAAGAGGAATATCAACACCAAGTTCATTTTAAATTTAAAAAGAAAGAAAGAAAGAAAGAAAGAAAAAGAAAATAAGTTCATTTTAAATTAAAAAAGAAAAAAAAAGAAAATGTGTGTGGGCCTGATGCAGTGGCCTACTCCTCGCCTTGAACGTGCCATGTTCCAAGACCAGTTCTGAAGCCCACAGTGAATTAGCTCTGCTAGCCATTGTCCAAATCATATACTCAAATTCCAATCCCATTCTTTTTTTTAATTTTTTATAAAGATTTATTTTTATTATTTTTTCATTGGAAAGGCAGATATACAGAGAGGAGAGACAGAGAGGAAGATCTTCCATCCGATGATTCACTCCCCAAGTGAGCGCAACGGGCCGATACTATGCCGATCCAAAGCCAGGAGCCTCTTCCGGGTGGTCTCCCGCACGGGTGCAGGGTCCCAAAGCTTTGGGCCGTCCTCGACTGCTTTCCCGGGCCACAGGCAGGGAGCTGGAAGGGAAGCAGGGCTGCCGGGATTAGAACTGGCGCCCATATGGGATCCTGGGCGTGCAAGGTGAGGACTTAACCACTTGCGCCACCGCGCCGGGCCCCCAATCCCATTCTTGACTGAAGCCAAATTGAAATTAGATTCAGAATCTACAGAATCAATGGGACCACATCAGTAATACTCTCTAAAGAGAGTTAAGACCAGTGTCTATTGAATATATGGTTGTAAAACACTGTGATCCCAAATTACAGAAGAGAACAATCAGTTCTGCTTGAAACAAAAATTCATAAATGACTAAATATAGAATCTCAAGAGATGGGAAACAGGAAAGCAAATAG